TTTGGTTTGATTGTTGTTGAGATATTTTATTTTAAAATTTTACTTCGAAACAATTTGTTTGGTTTCTACTGGCACGCCCCCATACTGTAGAATTGAAATATATTAGGAAATCTTGAATTTTATTTCCAGACAATTAGATTTATTCATAAAAAAAGAAAATAAAAAATAAAATTTTTAGATTTCTTTGTATGGGATGTCACGCAATTTAAGAGCGCTATAATAAATCTCTTGATGAAAAAAAGTTTGTAACGCGTGGATATGGACTCAAAATCCAATATATATGTTGTGCTCCAGATTGGAATCCTCCAGATTCGGAATTCTTAAACAGGGTACTCGGTTTAAGAACTATAATTATAACCATATAAATACTAATCTTAACCCTAACCTTATTGATTCTCAAACTGGGTAACCCACTGAATCAGGACAACTGGATTTGAATTGGATGGATTCCAATCTGGGGACGGCGTATGTTTTTATGTATATTTTATAATTCATCGATCCAACTAAATCGAAAATGGCGATGAATTTTAATAAATTTTCAATGTATAATTATGTACAAAATATCTAAGTACGCACGAATAATTTTCATTAGGCTGTAGCACAGTATTTCGTTGATCAACATGAAGTTGATCCTGATATGATAACAGTGATGGGTGGTAGTCATGGTGGTTTCATTTCTGGACACCTTATTGGAAAATATCCGGTATGTTAAGTAATATTATACTCGAATTATATGTTTACTGACCTATCAAACAATTTAATATAGGATTTTTATAAATCTTGTATCTTGTTAAATCCAGTATTAAATATTGGAGGTAAGTTAGATATATATATATATATATATTAGTTATTTAAGGTTTTGTTAACGTTTTTATTTAAAAATCAGGAATGGTAGCAGTAACTGACATTCCAGATTGGTAAGAGATAATATTTAGTGGTATTTGTTCGAATATACTAGATTTTTGTCTTAATACGGTAATATATTACACAACAAAATAAAACAGGTGCTTTGCAGAACTAGGCCTACCATACTCTCAATCTAAGCCATCAATTCTCAAACCGTCAGACTATACCAAGATGTATGAAAATTCACCAATTTCAAATATAGATAAAGTGAAAACGCCAACTTTATTACTTCTTGGTGAAAATGATAAAAGAGTACCACACGTTGATGGATTGGCATGGTGGTACTATTTGAAAGGACAGGGCAAGGTAGAGATACATTGTAAGATGTATAAAGAGACCGGGCATTCATTGGATAGCGTTGAAGCTGAAATTCAAAGCGTTGATGCTATTACTAAATTTTTAAAAGAAAAGATCGGATTGTGATAATGTGAGTGGTGGTACAGACTTTACATAAGTATTACCAAGTTGGTTAAAGCAATTACGTTGATTAAATATTTAAAATTTGCTACTAAAAATAGTTATTATGCACGGTTTAGCAGCATAAAATTTATTAGGTAGTACTTATTTATGGTGAAGATAATTCCGAATTTTTAATTCGAGAACCACGAGCGTAATAGAAATTTGTTTTGATTATTATTTATATTTAAAAAAATATATTACACGAGTTTTTCACATCATTTATCTATATATATATATATATTATTACACTATTAATATTTTAATGTCTACCAGGAATAAAACGAATCTGATTAGCCGATATTCGTGTGATCGTTGCAGAATCCTATGTGCCTATAAGACTATTTCATACACATAACCACTTTCATCATAGCATATTTTTATAATTAATGTAGGATGAATGTTTTTATTAAAATTTATCAGATTTGGTGGTTAATTATCAAAATAAAAAATTATATTAAAATTATTTAAACAATATAAATTACAATTATTACATAATATATAAATACATAGTCATTTCGGTCGTCACCTCTTTTTCGTTATGCGAATTTTCGAAACCATCTAGTATTGTGTTTACAGCTTTGTTACGTCACTGACTCGACTAAAAACAAGCACTGAGTCGATTTGGTACACTAAAAAAACCTGACTATTCTGTATATTTTTTTCTTCAATATATATGTATTTTGATTATTTTTCTTTGAAACTTTTAAACTGTAGGAACGAGTCGACTTCTACATACTCACGCGTAGATTTCACATAACGATCGATTGAATGCATCCGAGTACATGCATATATGCGTAATGATCAGGTAGATCCTTTTTAGTTCATATTAATGGTATTGTTAAACGGTTCGTTCATTGATAACTATCGTATACTTTTTATTATATTATCTATTACATGGTGTGATAAATATTAACTTCTGGTTTTATTTGTAAACTAAAGAAATTGATAATTAATCACATATTTCAAATGTGTATTCTCCCTACTAGTAAATAAAATGTAGATTTGTTTTAAATACGTAATTAAGAGACCATTTTGACGGTAGAATTGACAGGTTCATTGATGTCGATCAACGTCGGTAACTTATCGACCAAATCACATGATAGGCAGATAGGATAGGTTTGAGAGATTCGGGCATTTGACAATTGACGATCATAGAATACAGACTTCTCGTAATTATCATGAATGTAACCATAATTTTACACATGGTTTGACGACTTGTAGAAGTACTAACACAAATTCATATGACTTTTTGGGACGACATGGTCGATGAATAAATAATTCCTTGGGTTAATTATATGGGTACAAACTTCTAAAAAGGCATAATTGATAAATTTTGTTCATCGTAGGAAAATCAATGTTTAATTTAATCGTCTTTGAAACATTAATTAAAACTGACAGGAATGGGAATTTTGCTATAAAAAAAAAATGGTAACCTATTCTGTAACCTCTAATTCATTTATTAACCTAAATTTCTATCTTTGTGCGTTTATTATATTCGTATTTTCTTAGAAATTTGCATTACCTGGCTTGTCATACCCGACTAGAAACATTATGCATGCCATCAATATAATATATTTACATCTAAGTTAAATTAAGCACAAAATTTCAAATTTGTTAATGAAATCAATACGTAACAGTATATGCTCGTTTTTATTAGGCCATACAAAATTAGTTAATTGGTTCTTATAAACTGGCAAAGTCAATCTTTGTAAGTCCTTGAAAAAATTTTTATAAATTTATTAAGCACCGTATTCTTCCGAAAATAAACACCCCTTTTTTTGCACATTATATCGATATTAAGATAATTATTATAATCCAGGCCAAATTTTTATAATGCAGACTAGGGGTGCTTATTTTCGGAGGAATACGGTATGTTTATAATTTGATAAATAATATAAAGATTTTACGGTAAATGCTTAAAAATTAATGAGAAACAAAATTACGATTACGTAGAAATATTGAAATGAAACTGGACGTCATAATTTTAATATGGGATTTATTTGGTGACACAAATTGTAAAAAATAAATTGACCATACCTTTATTGTTATGTCTTTATGCATCTTTGTGTGATCAAAAGTCGAACAAATCAATTTAATATTTTGCAAGTCATATATTTTGTGTTATTGTTTAAATAATATTATTATAAAATGTAAAGGCATTACATGTGTTTCGAAACACTGCGTCTTAATCAAATTGTACTCTAAATGAATCAAATAATAGGATCATTCAATTTACTCTATAATATTCGATCTTTCTTTTCTTTCCTCCTCAAACATTTTCTTTTTCGACGAAGGAGGAATATATTCCTCGGTGTGGTTACATTCATTCACACATTCCTCCTTCTATTCCAAGAATCCATCTCATACACTCCTTGCTCAAATTTTAACCCTTTTACCAAAATAATAACCTAAAAAACGTAACAGCGTATGTTACGTTGTTTCAAAAATTTGTAGATATATAATAATATATGCTAAAAACCTCATTTACACTTCTATTATAACAAAAACATGGCTGGATATCCAAACGATTATTCATACCAACAACATTCTAGGCCTCTTCCACAACAAACTTATCAACAACAAGGATACTCCCCTCAGGGAGGGCACCAAGGGTATCAACAACAAGAATACACTCATCAGGGAGGACGTCAGCAAGAATACTCTCCTCATTCTCCTCATTCTCCTCATACTCCTCAAGGAGGATATCAACAAGAATACCCTCCTCATGGAGGACGCCAACAAGGATATTCTCCTCAGGGAGGATATAAACAAGAATACTCTCCTCATGGAGGACGCCAACAAGGATATTCTCCTCAGGGACAACAAGGATATCAAACAGAATATTATAATCAACGAAATAACTCTCCATCACCTGGTGTACAAAATTATTCATTGCAAAGGCAACAGAATTGGCCTGAACATCAAGCTGTAGACGTTGAATATAATAATTTACCAACTAATGGCAATAGAGCTGATAAAAGAAAGGTTAGAAGAAAATTCAATGTTTTCACGTGATAATAAAGTTCACTACTCGTGACGTAATTTTAATATAATGTTAATATATATATGTATATTTTTTTTATAGTCATTCCGTCACATTGAACTTACTAATGGGAACTTGGTGCTTGATTGTGATGTACCAAAACAAGTACTTCGTAACGTGCAATATACTGATAAAGATGAGTTCACTAAAATGAGATACACCGCTGTCACGTGCGACCCTGATGATTTCATAAAAAATAAATATTTACTTCGACCTCATATTTACGGACGAGAAACAGAGTTAATGATTGTTATGACAATGTATAATGAAGATGATAAATTGTTTATCAAAACAATGTCTTCTGCTATCAAAAATATCAGTTTTCTCTGTACAAGAAAGAAATCAAAAACATGGGGTAAATCTATTTTTCAGTGAATTTGTTTTTTTTTTTTTAACAAAAAAAAAAAAAGAGATGAATCGAAAATTTTTACCTTTGTATAGGGGTAGACGGCTGGAAAAAGGTAGTAGTAGTAGTAGTCTCAGATGGACGTAGTAAAATCAATCAACGAGTATTAAAAGTTCTTGGAGCTATGGGTGTTTATCAAGATGGTATTATGCAAGACAGTGTTGATGGAAAACCTGTTACTGGGCATCTTTTTGAATATACATCTCAATTAATGGTTGATAAAGAGTATAGTATTCGTGGTTCGGACAAGAATGTACAACCTGTACAAATCTTGTTTTGTTTGAAGGAAAAGAATGCCAAAAAATTAAATTCTCATCGATGGTTTTTTAATGCTTTTGCCGCTCAATTAAAACCTAATGTTTGTATTTTACTTGATGTTGGCACTAAACCTTCTAGCACCTCGATTTATCATTTGTGGAAAGGTAAACTTTTATCAAAAATTGAGATTTGATAATCATACTTATGATATCAAAACAATTGTCAAAAGTACTCATTAGGTAATTTTCATTAATTTATCATTTATTTCACCTTCAGCCTTTGATCGAGATCCAGGAGTTGGAGGTGCTTGTGGTGAAATTAAAGCTGAACTTGGAACTGGATGTTTGAACCTTGTTAACCCATTAGTTGCATCCCAAAACTTTGAATATAAGATGTCCAACATTTTAGATAAACCATTAGAGTCAGTTTTTGGCTATATTTCCGTGTTGCCTGGCGCTTTCTCAGCTTATCGATACAGAGCATTATTAGATACTGCGCCTGGTAAGGGACCTTTGGCTTCATACTTTAAAGGTGAAGCAATGCATGGATCTGGTGCGGTTAATGCTGGTATCTTTGAAGCAAATATGTATTTGGCTGAAGATCGTATCTTGTGTTTCGAACTTGTCACTAAAAAGAATGAAGCGTGGAAATTAAAATATGTTAAGGTAAATAAAATGAGCAATTTAAATTATTGAGTTTTATTTTTCATAATATAAAAACAACTAATTTTTATTTTATTCAATATTTAGTCTGCTAAAGCTGAAACTGATGTTCCAGATAATGTACCGGAATTTATTTCCCAACGTCGTCGTTGGTTAAATGGATCATTCTTTGCAGCTTTCTATTCCCTTGCAAACTTTAGTAGGATTTGGTCTTCCGGTCAACCCCTTTATAGAATGATCTTGTTACAGATAGAGTTTATGTATAATGCGATTAATTTACTTTTTAATTGGTTTGCTTTGGTAAGTTGTAAAAATAATAAAATTTAGAGTTGTTTTTTTTTAATATATAAATATATATATAATTAATTTTTATTTTGATTTATTTTTCTTAGGGTAATTTCTATTTGGCATTCTTCTTCTTAACACAGTCTACCATTGCAACTCTAGATACATATGGAAGGGAAGCGTTTAATTTTGCACGATCACTTTACATTATGGTTATAGTTACAATTTTCATTTGTTCTATGGGTAACAGACCTCAGGGATCAAAAAGGATATATATATTATGTATAGTTTTATTCGCATTATTAATGGTGACAATGATGCTTTGTGCAGTTTATACAGTTTATTTAAGTTTTAAAGACACCAATTTTAAGAGTTATAAAGATATCAAAAATGCGCTCAAACAAGCAGCATTTAGAGATATTGTAATTTCATTATTATCAACTTACGGTCTTTACTTTGGATCATCAATAATTCATGCAGAGCCCTGGCATATGTTTACTTGTTTATTTCAATATACCTTACTTATTCCATTTTACGTTAATATCCTAATGGTATACGCGTTTTGTAACACACATGATGTTTCATGGGGAACAAAAGGAGATAACGGAAGCACAGGATCATTAGGTAGTGCCCAGGCGGTACCCGGTAAAGATGGAAAACAAATGATGAAGGTAGAAATGCTTCATGAACCTGAAGATATTAACCGAGCATATGAAAATTTGGTTAAAGATCTTAGAATTAAAGTTCATGAAGAGAAAAAGCATAGAGATGCAGCAACTAAAAAAGAAGATTATTATAGAATGTTTAGAACTAACCTTGTTCTTGCTTGGATGTTTTCTAATGCTCTATTGGTGGTGTTCTTTACTTCGGATACTTGGAATAACTTTTTTATGTCTAAATCAACTGGAACTGTTGTTTTTAATCCATATTTAACATTTAGTAAGTATTACTTTTTGACGTAAATATATTTATTGATTTGCATTATTTCCATCTATTTAACTCTTTATTAAAAAAATCTTTTGTAGTTTTTTGGTCTGTTACTGGTCTTTCAGCATTTAGAGCATTCGGTTGTATTTGGTATTTAATTCTTAGAATGATATTTGGTTAGAAATTTTGGTTTTATAAATTCATTCCCTACATTACATCGATTATACCCTTTTCATTATACCCGTCTCATAATACGCGTGCTTACAAATGTTTAATTTATTAATATATATATTTATGTAAAATATAAATAATTATTATCTTTTTTTTTTATTTTTTGGCATAAGGGCTTGATTTACATCTTTAATTTTATAAAAAAAAAAATTTATCTAAAAACCAAAGTTTTGGAATTATGATTGAAGGCTATTTATTATTTGTCATGGCTGCTTAAATTTAGGCATCTATATTTGAAAATATAAATCATGTCATGCCTACTAAATTCTACTTATATAAACACAAACCAACCATAAAAAAAAAATGTTACCAAAAACCTAACTTTTATACGTTTTAAAAATAGGTTCAATTTAACACGACTTCAATTTTTCCCTAATACGGTAAAACTGTAACAAAAATTGAAAATCTTCTGATAATCTGCACTTAGTTTTAATACATAGTTTCAAAGATTTTCTCTTATTTTTTCCATCCAACCACCGTAAAGTGTATGAATGTATCTCAACAGTTTGCAAGATGGCATTGCCACTATGTAGAGGTAATGGAAGAAGAAGCCTACCAATCCATTTCTAACGCATTCCCTATGCGCTAGGAATAAATACTGATGCATTTTATTAAAAAGCTTTGACTATTGAAAGTTTAGGCCTCATTTCTGATAATGCTAGGTGTCTTTTTGCCGTCATAAGTTGGACACCTATGGAGTTTTTTTTTTTTTTGGCTGACTGTTCAAGAAAAGAACATAATCAATTCATAAACGGGAAATATATACTGCAAACCAATTTCTCTGACAACTAGGATTGGCCTAATTTATAATTATTGCTGACTAGATGTAGATTGTTGGCAAAATTGTGATTGGCAAGCTCCACTAGAGATGATACACAATCAATTCTTTCTATAATGAATTAATAGTTCTTGAAGAAAAAAAAATCATTATAGAAAATTTACCATTTTCTTAAAGAAACTATAGCTCTTCATACTGAACCATTATAAATTTTAAAATTTAGAATTTTTTTTTTATATCCAGAGTTCGTTATAGAGAAGTTCGTTATATCCAGAGTTGATTGTCTTAAAGAAAAACTAAAAAATTAAATCTAGATATTAAGGCTCAGAACCTCAAAAGTTCCTATTTCCTACTGTAGTAATAACACATTTCGCTAGAATAAAAAAACATTTATTTTCACCTGCCAACACCAACGACAAGCCTTTTTTTATTGCGACACGATCAATGTCAAAACAATCAATCTTATGTTATTGGCTAGTTTGGCAATCAATCAATTTAATACCAGATACGCGATTTTAAATTTAATGATTATATACTTCTTAGTCATTATCACCTTTACCAGTGATACAATCTTCTACTTTTCATTACAAAAGTGAAAATAAAAGATGCAAATATCTGGAATATTTATATTCTACAATAGACTTATTTTTACTTAATACAGTGGATTAACACAATCCTATTGTTCAACCTGACTTGTGCAATTTAACGTCTTACTATACTATGTAAACATCATTTATTTATTATCAAGAAACTCTGTTGGATTATGAACATGTAATAGGAATTGAAAAAGATGAAAAAAAAAAATTAGAAAATATGAGAAATTTACATAGAATCGATTACTTTGTAATTGTCATCAAATATGAATTGGAGTTTGAAATGGGTCATGTTATAGGAGTGAACGGCCTTGGGTAAGAAATCTGCTGATATGAAGGTGAATAGGTCAGGTTTAATATTATTATCGAACGGAATTGGAATTGAAAAGGACGAACATAAAGCATTAATTTTATTATCAAAATTTTGCTAATATTAGTGCTAGTAGGACATATAAAGTAAAGAATGAACATAAGGCATTCATTTATTATCAAAAATCCGTGAAAATGAATTATTCTGATACGTAGGAATTTTAAATTACGTAACGTTATCTATATGGACATACGGGCTCAAAAATTTCCTAATAGGGAGGATGCTGCTGAAATGAAATTCCTTGAATATTAAAATCGAAATAGAATGAGGTTTTCAGAAAGTCAATTTCTGGTATCAAAAGTAAATACCATAACTTTGTCTTTGTTCCTTTGTATAATTACATAAAATGTAATTATCATTCGTTGAGGAAAATTTATTTACAATATTTTATCTATTTTATTTTCAGGTTTTAAATTCTTAATAATGAATGAAAATTTAGCTACAAAAGAAAGTCATATGAAGACGAAAAGCATAAGTACGGTTGGTCATGTGATTGGAAGAATGCCGGCACGCCAAAGGTGCCGGAAATAAATTCAATTAAAGGACTTTAAGTCCGCA